GACACGAATAGACTTCCCCGGCTCAGAGTGATTGATTCGTTGTGGCAGGAACAGCAGCAGCAGCAGCAGCAGCAGCAGCACATGGCAATGACATTCTGCTGCCTGATCGAGAACTCGTGTTGAGCACGCGTCGCATTTTCACGCTTCGTCGTCTTGTTTGGGCTTCGATGGAAAGGGAAATGGTTTTCTGTTACTATTTGGTGTGCGCTTTGTCCGTTGACAAAGTCAATGACAGGAAGTGGAATGAATCGTCTGTGCAATGCTCGCATATCCGCCTCCGCCTGCGCAGTGAGCAGCACACAGGATGCAGTTTACCCTCGCACCCTGTTCCTCTCTCACTCGCTCTTTTAGTCCATCTGTCTCTTTCTTCCAAGGAAATGCTGACACACACCCACAGACACACTGACAATTGCAGATAAATGAGGAAATGTGCGATACTTGCGCCAGTTTTAATTACATTCACGAAATATACTCATAGCTTAAAGGGCGTTCTCTGTCGGTCTTTATGTTGTATCTTTGCACTTTGCACCATCACCGCTCTGTCGCTCTGTCGCTCTGTCTCTGTGTCTCTGTTTTTCGTTGCTACTTAGTGGCAGCTACTAAACAAACAACCACAGAAACTCACAAACATACATATGTTCCTTCGCTTGGGACCTGGAGACTTGCCGTCGTCGTCTTTGAGTGTGCAAAAGACAAACGAAACGTAAAAAATCGTAATTTGAAGTTCGTAAAAATGACGCGTTTCCTGTCATTTGGCTTTGGCGAGCACTTTAAGTGCGTAATTTGCTATCCACAAAAATATATACATGGGTGTGTGTGTGTGTGTGTATTTGTGTGTCTTGTCTGGCTCTGTTCTCCTCTGGCTCTGTCGGCGGGTGTTTACGACGCATCCCATTCCATTCCAATCTCCTTTTCCTTCATCCGCTCCCACATCTCGCATTTCCGCTTTCTCAAACAGATTCTTGGTACATTTATCATGGAGGCTGACATAATTTGCTTATTATTTACACGTTTATCATCTTCACAAACAGGCGACCTTCCAACTTAATTTAAATTCAAATTTAATTCAAATTCTGGATAATCCTGAGGGCACCCTCAAATCTGTTTCATAATTGCCGAATTGCATTCTAATAGAAAAGTTTACATCTCTTGTCGGGGCATATAATTATCATTTTGTTTATAGATAATTCGTGTAAATGGTGTAAACACGATTAAACGTAAAATATTGCTGTCTGTTTCTTGGCTAGATTTCAAGGCAATAAACTCGTTCATTCATCGGAGTGTGGAGTGCAGCAACACAACGAGCGATGCAAAAACAGCAGACGACAGATGATAATCTGCTGAATATTGTTAAAAATAAACATTTTTGCCCAGTCGCAGTCGAAGCAAACGAACCGGATTCCATTTATGCACATGTTGCTGTTGTTGCTGCTGTTCTTGTTGCTGTTGTGACGTATGTTTTCTGATATTACAAATCATGTAACGCCATCGAGGCGGCTGTGGCTGCGTCTGCGTCTGCGTCTGTGGCGGGATCGGGATCGGGATCTCGCCGTCTGCCCAACGTCTGCATACTGACAGTCGCCGTCGCTTGTCTCCCATTCATCATTTCCCCATCAGTGGCACAGCCAGCAGACTGGCCCCCAGTGCGTTTGTCGTGATGGACGGATGTGTGACGACTTTCGGTCTTGTTGTCGCTGATGCGTGCCACTAAAATACTCGCATGTACAGCCAAATGGCGCCAAATGCATCTCGGAATAGCCTCGACTCGCCTAGCCTCGCCTCGCGGTGTCTTTAGTGGGTGAGTACGGGTAAATTAAGGGGAGGTACGACTGCGTTCACGCCTCGCACGTGTCAAGGTGAAGTGAGGCATGCAGCAGGAAGTTCGCCCCACCAGAGGAGGGGAGTCGCCTGATAAGACAGCAATAGAAGGAAGCCGGCGTTCCGTACGAGTCAGTCGGCGGTTTGTCATTTCCTTTCGGGGACTGGAGCTGCCAGCAGAGGTGAGTCAGCTGGGAAATTAATTAAGGCGGTTGGCACGGCGGCACCAGGTGCACATTTGGTCTGTCCTGCAGCTGCAAAGATTACAGAGAATTCTCTGTGTGGATGTGTGGTTCCCTGCACACCCTCCCTTTCCCAACTGGTATCCATCCCTTTGCGCATATCCTTTGCGCATGCGCGCGCATTTATAAAGGAGCAGAAGCAGAACAGAACGGAGCCTACAGAGGGTAACAATCGAGCTGAATGCATCTTTATCGACTTGGCCACAAACATTTCCTTTTTGCAGCTGCCGTCTTGGCATTTTAAGTGTCGCTTTGCTGTGTGGGGCACTGGTAGTGGTGTCTGGGTCTGGGTCTGTGTCTGCCTCGATGCGGTTATTCTCTCGCTTCTCAACGTTTTGTTCTCTCCATTCATTCATTCTCTTTCATTGTAGCTCTAGACAGTTTTCTCTTGTGCTGCTACACAAATGTGTTGCCTCGAAATAAAGACCAAAGCAGCTTAACTTTGAGTAAGCCTTTAAGATGTGTCTTAACTTGTACAAAATCATTATTATTTAGAGCTGCTTGCAGCTGCATTTCTAGAGAAATCTTTTAGACAGACACAAACATTAGCTGCAGAAAGCGTAACCCAAGCAGGGTACGTGTTTAACTAGGAATTAATATTTTCCAAATTCAATTTGTTTGATTCATTAAAAGAACTGGCATTGATTTGAACCTATGCCAGACCTTCATTAACCTTTCATGCTGACCCTTAAGTATTTGTTCAAATGTCCATTAGCTCTAAAGTTTTTTTAATATGCCTCTTTAGAGCACATCTTTAGAGGTCAATTAGTAAATTCAGTTTTGAATGCACGCGAACAACAAGGCAACAAACCATCAAAATGCTGGCTAATGGTGTGAACCTTCAAATCGATTTTTGGGTATATTTTTGTAGTGTTAATGAGGGCCATAAACGATGCTTGACTTTGGTTTGCTTTTTGATGTGTAAACCAACTTACCTTGATCAAAAATGAACGAATGTTAATCCAACAATCTGCTTCGATTTTAGTGTATTTTTATTGGAATTTCCAAGTTTATTTTTTCATATATGAGCTATCTGTTTGGTTGATGGAAGCTTCCTGCTTGGAATTATTATTTTATATTTGTTTTTGTATTTTTAGAAATTGCACTTTTTGTCGCTTGTTTTGGCTTTCGCTTCAAGCACGCGCGCTCTCCCTCTCCCTCTCTCTCGCTCTCTCTCTCGTTCTGTGTTTTTGTATTGTATCTCTCGGATACGTTTCACAACTTTTGCAGCAAAGTAACGTATTTTGCACGCTTTGAACTACTTTTTCTATTTCGCTTTTGGCTCGAGTTTTGAAAGTTTTTTGTTGTTGTTGCTGTTGCTGCTGCCTGGCTGCTGCAATTTGCTTCGTTTTTCACTTAACACGAATTGTGGTTTTGATTTTTGGGGTGGTAAATCCAGTTTTGGTACAACTGCAAGGCGAGTATCTTAGTATCTGACGGGTGAGTAATATGCGCTCGTACTTTTGTGTATCTGTATCTACGCTCTGTTCTCTGCTCGCGCGCACAACGTTCGTTATTCGACTGATAGCGATCGTGCCTGTGCAGCGAGTTTTGTTGCCTCGATTGTGTCGCTCTCTCTCTCTCTCTCTCTCTGTGTGCGAAGCGCTCTCTTGCGCTCTCTCTCTCTCTCTCTGTCTCTCTCAGCTGTTTTGGCCCGCCAGCTGTGGCTACATGTTTGTAGATCGTTTCGTATGCTCGACTCGACCCGCATTTGCTGTTAAGCTGATTGAGTCAACACTTTTGAGGTCAATGAAAAGGGTCCAGAGATCGCTTAGGGTCGACAGGATGGGGCTGGGCATGGGAAATGTGGGCTAACTTCAGCTGGTTTTTGTTTGGAGATTAAGCGACTTTATAGGAAAGAGATTTGTAATCGAAATTCAGTGTGAGAGTAAGAGGAGAGTAATAACCCCCATGGGTTATCCCTTTCTTGCATGTTGTCCCACCCTCTGCTGTTGTCATCGAGTATTCATACCGTTTCCCCCATTAGCAGACAACTCTTCGTGGTGGACCTTTGACTTGTCAAGCAATTTATTCCAAATTTCCATTAGCATTTTCCATCAATTTATCATTTCACACTTCATCTCCAAAATCCGGAAACATGTGTACTTGGTATGGTGGGGAATACATAGACCTAGGACTGGGGGAATTAGATATTATCATGGAATGAAAGTACTCTCAGCAGGGTAGTACTCTCCACATATTAATAATGCATTCATTCATACACTCACTCATTCATTCACTTACTGATTCATTTATTTTTGTTGAACAATTCTTCCCCGCTGACTAATTACGCAGCCAACTCGGAGTAATTACAGGAAATCCCTTTTCCTGCCTCGCACTGAAAGCATTTTAATGTAAATGATGGCAGGCCTTGCGGCTTTTTTGCTCCCTTTTGCCGCAGGATCGTATCGCTCTGACACGCATGCCAAGGATCATGCAGCAGATCGCAGCATATGGTCTGCGGCTGGGCTGTCAAGTGCGTGTTTCAGACTGAATCCTTTGGCTGCTCGCATCTCATAGGCAATGCGTGAAGTGAGATGATGACTCTCGGGTTACTTCGTCAGTACTTCGTTGGAAATGCCATCGCACTCGATCGAATTCCAGGATAACGCCCACGACGGGGCACGCGTACACGTGAGCATTCAGGCAGGCACCTCAAGAGGAGTTGGTCCTGCACTCGAATTGCAGCTAGCAGCTAGCAGCTGTGGCAGCCAGCCTCCACCTTTGAAGCGGTGTCCTGTTGCGATCTCAAGTGCATCTAATGGCTTGTTTATCAGCAGTTCTCGATCTTCGGGCAAATAAATTGAGTTTTTCCTGCGTGTGTGTGTGCTCCTTTTTCGTTGGTACCTAATTGATTTCGGCGTCGCTCTAATCATTTCTAATTGCAAAGGATGCCCCAGCAGCTGCCACGATCGATAAGGTATGTGGCAGCTCCATTGATCTATAGTTTATTTATTCTCAATCTGTTTCCTATGCGTTGTGGTTCTTTATGGTGTCTACAATCCATGGAATGTAGGCTCTAACATTCGTGAATACACTGAGGCCATTGCAAGTGCTCTCGCCATAGCTGACAACACCGAGCTGAACCTTAAAGTCGACGCGTTGATTGGTCACTGTGGTAACCAGTGGGCCACCAGAGTCGCCCTCACATGCACGGCGCACCAGATCCCCAGCACAGATGTGATTCTCAGTGGCGTCATAGCCATAGTCTGCCAGGCAGCTGTCTCGATCCACCTGCGTGACATTCGCCGCCTTGAGTACGTGGCTCAAGGCACCCGTTTCGGTCTTGCCCCAGCCGGCCACAGAGAACTGTTCAATGGAGTCGACATAGCGCTGCCACGTGTCCGTCGTGTCCAACACAATGCAGATCGGTGTCATGTTGTCTGCAAAAGGAATAGCTTTCAATATACGTATGTTGGGAGTTGATTCTCACTGGCATTACTTTGCTCCACCACTTGAGTTTTGAGTTTGAGCAGAGCGATGTCATAGTGCGTGATGGTCGTGTAGGAAGGATGCGGATGGAAGGACTCGATGGCAAAGTCTTGAGCAGGCAGTGCACAGCCTTGCTCCCTGCAATCAGTGTGGGTCCTAGCATCGTATTCGCCCAGTCGCACCACACTGTAGGTAGAATAACTTCAATTAAAAGAGTTTATTAACCAAAAGATAACACTTACAGCTCATCCCGATATGGTATGCAATGCGCAGCAGTCAGAACGAAGCCTAAAATGAGTTCATTTTAAACTTAAGTCACACGAAAGACACATACAAATACAAACGATAAGTGACGAGTGATCCGGCGCACACAAATTTGCCATTTCTATGCATATATGCCATCCAGGGTGTTGAAAACAATTCGGAATCCGAGCCACCTATAAGTCGGCGTTGGTGTCGCGACTTTGAGCTGCAACGACGTTCGAGTAAACGCAGCGAGCCAACGGCGTGGCATGCCACCAGAGCCAGCAGCAAAGTCACAGCGTGCTTCATTGCGGCACAATCGAATTGAGACTGATGCAATCGATGCGAAAACATGCGAGCTTACAATGGGAATTATGCAGAACTTCAACTTCCACGAACTGATAATGTTTTAATCTGTTTTCAGAAAGCAGCAAGATAACCCTCAAGCAACCCAGTGGCCTCCAGCTATGAGGCGGTGTCCTTCCATGAACTTGCTCGAGCTTGCGTATCTGCTACATATTTGCAGCAAATTAATTTCAATCCGCCTAGGCAGAGGACAAACACACACGGAAACACATGCAGCTACTGCTAATCCTGGGCTTATCCTGTGCACATACGCATGACTGGCAGCTGCCATGCATCCAATTGCATTGCTATCTATTGTCTGGGCCAACTCGATAAGAATCTCCACGGACAGGATGTGCAAAACAAGGACCGAGAGAGGATGTTTACTTAGGCCACAGAACGGACCCCGTACGTGACTCTGTGAGGTAATTTCTGTGTGTGTTTTTCGTATGATAATTGCCCAAAGGAACGCACGGAGCTGCTACTCAACTATTTGCTTAGTATTTGCCGTTGTTGTTGTTGATTTTCAATTACGTTCGTGTTGGCGCATAAATAGAGTTGGACCCAAAGGAAATAGTCCCCCGAGCCGAGTCCAACGATCAGAGGCGATGGTTAATTTACACTTACATCTGGCGGATGGGCTGGAGATATTCCAGCTGTAGAGGCAGAACTCTTTGGGATGGGGTTGGGTTGGCAGCGTGTGCCTAGAAAATATATCAAATTCCCAAAAATAGTGGATATTCTCCATCCCTTCTTGGGGGTTGTTGTCGTCGCCAACTATTTATAGAGCATTGAGGCAGCGCCCCTCGAAGTAGACTAAACGATTTACGACCCAGAAATATATTCAAAATTTCCTCTGGACATGTTTCACGTGCCCCCAGAAAGTCATTAAAGATCAACAAAAATATACAAAAAGGGCAGCCAGAGAGACAGAGGGAGTTTTAGTGGTGGTGGTTCAGAGCGAAGTAAATTTAACGATCGCATTCGGGGGATTTTCCCGCTTCTCCAGTCGAAACATACGGACAATAATCCTAGGCAGCTTCTGGTTCGTGCTCGGCGTTTTATTGGCACTTTCCCCAGACTATAAATCAATAAACAGATTGTGTGGCATCTTCCGTCATAAAGTTTTTCTACTCTTCGTAGAATTTGGACTGCCCGGAGGCCTGGAGGCGGAACAGCTGTCGATCTTGCCTGGGTTTTCTCTTCACTGTCTCTCGCTCTCTGTCTCTCATTTGCTGTTCCGCAAACGCCTAAATCAATCAGAGAAATATAATGATAAAACCCCCCAAAATGAAGTAACCGTAAATAAAAAAAAGCTGGAAAAAAAAGATCGGCGCTCGTAAGTATCGCATCCGAAATGCCACACAACATAACGCAGATGAAGGGCAGATCTGAGCACCGGAGCGGAGAAGACAATAGAGAAAAACAACAACAACAAGCCACAGCAGACTTCCGCTTTCATTTCATAAATTCGGATTAAGGCATTTCCCAGTGATAACAATGAAAGTACATAAAGAGGAACGAAGACGACGACGACGGTGAAGAAATGCTCCGTGAATCTGATTAACGGCCGGCAACAATGAGAACTTACAAAACGTGTCACGTAAATGCCAGGGCATTCAGGGGCAGCAGCAGCACAGTAGTAAAGTGAACCCACAGAACATGCCCCAGAGCAATCCGCACATAGACAAATAACACAACACACAAGACCAGAGCAGATCAGAGCATACCACAAGAGGTAAACGATGGGCAAAGCTCACTGGAGGAACTCACGGCTTTTTGTTAGTCAAACTACTTATGGAGATCTCTTCTTGTGGACTTGTGTGTTGGATTGTAGGTGGGCGCGGAAGTGAGTGGAGTTACGAAATTAGGGTATTACTTGAGGGGTTAAAGCAAATATTTGTCTATTTATGTGCTTAAAGAGGAAACGGATGCGAAGAGATGGAAATAGAGAGGATAGATGGAAGGGTTTTTATGGATAAATATAGAAATAGTTATACAACAAAATGACAACTAATTTATGCATATTTGCTAGCAATTTCAGACACTTTGGCAGCAGAAAAGAATTCATTTACATCGATTAATACACACAGATTAATATTCAATGGATTCTGCGATAAAACTCCAAGCATCCGACAGATGCATTTGACACAAAATAATCTAGATAAATACACAAAATAGATGGCTCAAACGACAAACACAATCCGCAAATGCCTTTATCGGGGGAACTAAACAACTGACGGCTACATTTTGGCAAACGGCAAACACAATTAGAACAATAAGATGCCATGGGCAGACATCCGCTAGATGATGGCTCGATGCATTTGGCAAATATTTAAGGCCAGACAAATGCATTTCCTGCCCTAAAAAAAAGAAGGAAACAGAAACCGAAACAGAGACCTTGAACATGCCTGCGCATACAACACATGGGATTAAGAATCTGCCGCAGGAGCGTAGTTGCCCAGGACGGGTCTCATCTGTTGCTCGATGCTGTGGCTGCTGTTTCTGATGAGCGGAAGCGAGGGAAAGGCGCGTTCTCTGTACACAAACAGAGGCGCAGGCAACACAGGCAACACACACAAAAACAAGGAAAAGGATGTCCTGCTGTGTGCGAGGAAAAGTGCGTGCACAGCAATTAACATTTTCCGCTTGTCCCCTCAGCAGGACATATGGCCAGGAGCCAGCAGCAGCATGAGGAGGGGAAACACCCAAATTAGAGTCTCATTTCGATTCAGTGTGAAATGCAGCAGCAGCAGCAGCGCAGGAAGCAGAGTCTGCTCTTTGTCCGTTCACGTCCAGGGACAGGCCAGGGGACAGGCCAGAGGACAGGTACAACACTCCCCACAAAATATTTTCGGTGATTAGTGACTTTTGGTGCGAGTCGATGAGGAAACGCCTGCGGCGTTAATTGTTTGTCCCAGCTTCGTGTGCGCTTTGATTTGCGCCGCTCTCTAAGCGGGTTGAGGCTAATCTGGGCCACAGGAAGCGGAAGCAGCAGCAGCGAGAGACGGAGCAGGGAAGCCGGAAGCCGGAAGCAGGCAGACGACCCCTTGATTTAGTCAGAATTTCGCCGGTTTATTGCAAATGTTTTACAAATTTGTTGGGTAAAACTATAAGCCACTGTCGCGGCCCGCGGGGAAATGTGCATTCTGGGATCGGGTTGTGGCTTTTATCGGCCACGCTGCTCGATCTCGGATAATGCATATTTTCCCGGAGGTCGCGATGGAACTGTCTGCCACTTCGGTCTCTTTCGATGTTTCCTTGGAGGCTGCATTTGTGTGTGCTCCGCCAGGTTCACGCAGGGACTCTGGTGGAGCGTCACCCCGGCAGCGGTGCGCACCAGACTCCGTCGCGTATTGGCGCCGGTGAGCAGATAGTTGACGGGAAACTGCAGCATTCCCGGTCGATAATGGGCAATGGGACTGAGGCCGAGGAGTCCGTTCTTGCGCCGGACATGGCCCTCACCGCCACTGCGACGCCCAGAGCCACCCGCACAGCCGGCACAGCCCCCTCCGGATTTACTGGGCTTGCTGGCGCTTTCATTTGGCATTTGATCCGTGTCCACCGGCTGCCAGGTGCGTCCGGCATCCAGAGCCTTGCCGGCGTTGCACTGGAAGCAACGCGCATGCCTGGAGCTCACGCTGAGCTCCTGCATGCGCTCCTGCCGCCTGCTGGCGGCATCTCCGCCACCGCGCTTGTGGCAGGGTCCCTTGCAGTGTCCCTTGCAGCCCTTGCCGCAGTTGTGGGGCGGCTTGCTGCACCTGCCCTGGCAGTCGTGCTTGCAGCGATTCTTCTCGCAGTTGGGCAGAAAGAAAGGTGCCGCATCGCTGCTTTGGGCCAGATAGTCCTTCTTGACCAGCTCATGATGACTTTCGCGTGGAGTGTGCGGGTGTGTGTGCTGCAGTGTGGCTAAGCTACTCTGTGTGGGGGTGTGTGAAGCGGGGTGCATGCTGCTGAATACCGATGGGAGCTCCTCTTTTTGGTCTTCACTCATCACCAGCAGGGTGGAGCCGGAGGCCACTCGCTTGTGGGTTTTGTTCCGCTTCAGCTTGATGTAATCCCCATTGGGGGCGCCCTTCTTCTTCGTGTAGATGGAGTATGGCCTGTGCTTGGATCTCCCCTTCTTCGGCTGCTCCGAGAGGCCAATGAAGATCTCCAGCGCCTTGGTGAGCAGCGCCGAGAGCTCCGTTTCGCAGCACTTGCGGGCACAGTTGGCCTCGCAGCTGGGCTCACAGTCCTTCGGTTGGGTCTTGCACTCGCAGGTTGGACACTTGCAGTCGCAATTGCAGGATTTATTCTCGCTGCCGCTCGGCTTGCACTCGCTCTGGCAGGACTTGCAGGTGCAGCTGCGGGTCTTGGCACAGGCAGAGGCTGCGGGCGGCTTCTGCACCGGACAGGAGGACATGTTGCATGAGCTGCGACTCTGCTGATACGTGTCCATGTAGCCTGAAAGGAGGCAGAAAGTGAGTCAGAGGTTGAGTATTTGGTAGAGAGATTTCCCACCATCCATTTCCATGTTGTAGCCATCATCGTAATCCATGTTCCTATCGTACTGCTGCTGCTGGCTGGCAGCTCGATTGTAGTCCACCATTTCGTAGTCTATGTAGTTGTAGCTGAGCGGATTGTTGTACTTGTAGTTGCTGTATCCTTGAGGCACATCCATGCCGGGGCCCTGGCCCTGGCCCTGGCCCCCGCTCCGACTGATGGCCGTGGTCAGCTGATCGATGAGCGCATTATTGTCGCAGTCCTGCAGCACAATAATGTTCAGCGGTGCCGCCCCACTGGGATCCGCCAATATCTGCTGCACCTGCTGCTGCGGTTGCTGTGGCTGCTGCGGCGCCCAAGGCTGGCTTATCGGCTGCCATTGTCCAGTCTGTGGTGCTGGCGTCTGTTCTGGCAGTGGCGCAGCCTGGCCAGACGGACAGTCACAGGTAGTCTCCGATGGCTGACGCATGTCACATACCGTTGGCTGTCCCTTTGAAACTGACCTTCGACTTCCCCAAGCCTGTTGCACCGGTGGCAGTGGCAGTGAGTAGGGAAACGAGGGATAACCATAAGGGATTGAAGACTGATAGTAAGGTGGCATCTCCGCTTGCTGCATAAAGTACTTCCCCATGGCATCGTGGATCCTGCAGTTGCACTCCTTGCACAATCCCCCGCACAGCCCGTTGCTGTCCGTCTGCTCACTACTGCGGCTCTGGCAGAGCGGACAGGTGCCGCCCTCGTGCCGTTCCGGCGTTGTCTGGCGCCTGGGGCAACTTTCGACAGCCTCGCCCTCGCCCTTGCAGTTGCCCTTGCAGGAGGTTTTCTTGCGCGGGCAGCGGCACTTGCAGCAGGGCGCCACTGTGTAGTCCTGGCACTGGTTGCAGTTCCGCAGCACAAAGATGCGCTCGTTGCCGGACTCGGGAGAGTTTCCCTTGAGGCAACCCTTCTTGGGCGACTCATTCCCCGAAGCTGTCCATGGATCACTCTCAACGTCCTGCATCCTGAAGCAGAAGTCCGTCTGTGTGCTCTCGTCCACTTCATCCTTGCTCGGAGTCGGAAAGTCCCAGGAGTGGCCCATAATTTTATCGTTTCCGAAATGTTTCATTTCATGAATTTTGTTTTTGGGTGAAATATATTGTTTGAACGGTAGCTCCCGACCCGACTCCTCTGACTGCTAGATCTTGGATTTCCTCTTCTTCATGTAGCTGCCAAACAGCCGGCGCCAGCTCCAGCTGCCTGGGCTCTTGATGTTGGGACCACCGAAGACATAGTCCTGATAGCTATGCAGAATTCGCGGCCACGCTCTCGTGGCAAGCAGCGACTGCGAGTCCGGATTCAGCACCAGTCCGCGTCGCGTGTTGGCTCTCAGATAACCAATCGGCTCCCTGCGATACACGGGTCCGCGGCTGCTCTCGTTCAGGTGCTCCTGCGACTCGCGGACTCGCAGAAAGCTGCCGCGATAGAAGGCAGCGGGTCCCCTAGCTGCGGGAAGTGGTTCCTCGGCTGCTGCTCGCTCTGACTGCTCCACGGACGGTGGCCTGGCGGCACTTAACTTTGGATTTCGCGACAAGATTGGCTCCTGTTGTCGATCATCATTTGGTGGCCTGGCGGGACCTGCTGCCTCTTGATGTTGTTGCCTGGTTCCTCCTCGATTCTCAGTTTGTGGCCTCATAGTGCCTGTTGCCTCCTGTTGTTGTGGCCTGCTCTCCGCTCGATCATCATTTGGTTTCCGACTGTTCGCCGCTTCTTGCTGTTGTGGCGGCCTTGTGGGGCTTCGGCCTGGATTTGGTGGCCTTGCAGCACCCGCCTCTCGTTGCTGCGATCTGCTGGAACTTTGTGCTGGATTTTGTGGCCTGGTGGGACTTTGCGCTGGCCTTGTAGGACTTTGCGCTTGATTTTGTGGCCTGATCGGACTTTGCGCTGGCCTTGTAGGACTTTGCGCTTGATTTTGTGGCCTGATCGGACTTTGCGCTGGCCTTGTAGGACTTTGCGCTTGATTTTGTGGCCTGATCGGACTTTGCGCTGGCCTTGTAGGACTTTGCGCTTGATTTTGTGGCCTGTTAAGAGTTGCTTCAGGATTCTGTGCTCTGCTAGGAAGTGGCTTCTCTTCTCCTGGCGTTTGCAGTCGCTGCGGCTTCACTGGAACTGCCATTCTTGGTGGGAATGTTCGGGCCAGCTCTGACCTGGGATGTACTGGAATTGGACGCACAAGACCGGGAAGTGCTTGATTTGCAGAAGCGTTTAGCACTCGACTCTCAGGGTGATTTGGACTGGCATATGCCCGTTGCTGCTGGGAGTATCGGGCTTGGGCCTGTGCCTGTGCCTGTGGCTGCTGGGAGTATCTCGCTTGTGCCTGCGGCTGCTGGGAGTACCGTGCTTGAGGCTGCGGCTGCTGGGAGCGACTTGGACTGCTACGTCCCTGAATCAAGTGTCCGTGCACGGAGGCATCGTGTGGGGCCGCTGCCAAGGCTGTGTGGAAAACGAAGAAGCTGTCAGAGATGCCAACAATGCCATGGCTGGTGCACACTCACTTGGGCTTGGGGCAGAGACATAACGCCTTTGAGCAGGCATCAGGGAAGGTGCCTCAGCAACGCTCGTCGGCCGTGTACGGATTCTGCTGGGATTTATGAGCTCTCCGGCTGAGCCATTTCGGCCGCCTCTGCAACGTAGCTTTTGGGTTCTGGTGTCAGGGGAGACATAGCAAACGCGGAGCATGCAGGATCGTGGAACTGCCGGGAAATGGCTGCTCCTCTTGCGGGACGTGGTGGCAAGCCGCTTGCGGCGAATGGGCACAGGTGCTGCCATCGATCTATAGATGGTCGTTGGCCTTTGCTGGTGGGGCGGAAAAATGCGAAAGATTATAGCAGAAGACGCTGAGTGGGGTGACTTACGGTTTGGGCATCTGGCAGAATGAGAAGTTTTCCCTTTGCAGCGCTCCCAGCAGTCGGGCGCTTGGGTTGCAGGCGGCAGATGAGGCGAATGCAGCCTCGCGACTTTGCGGGCAGGCAACCCATTCCGCACGAGGGATATGTCCTGCCTCTTTCCTTGGACATCCTCTTGCAAGTCTCATTCTCCGCACAGCTATAACGATGGATTTGCTCCTGTCGCTCCACCATCGTCTCGTTGGAGTCGCGAGCGAGATATTTCCAGGGAATCGTGTCATCTCGATGGCCGGCAATCTCGATGTAGTCCTCATCCCTTTCGGTGTATCGCTGCTTGCCCTTGCGCTTGCTCCTTTTGGATGAAGTGTGCCGCGGTTTGGCCCAGTTTTTCTCATACTTCTCGAAGGCACTTCTTTCCCTTGCCGGGCAGCTGCAGGATCTGTCGCTACGCTGGGAGTAAACGGCAAAGGGATGACGTGATCGAGCCACTGCTGGAGGAGGAAGGTTATCCCTGGTGCGACTCCGACATCGCAGACATCGCAAACAGTCGGAGCACGGAGAACTTTTTCTGCTGGAAATCCCTTGCTCTGCGGCCTTCGTGGCGCATTGGCACTTCTGAAGGGAAGTCGGAGCTGGCATATAGATGGTTTTGGTGACTTTTCTCTTTTTCTTCTGGCCCGTAGCCCTGCAGTTGACGGGATCATAGTAGCGGGGATCGTGGCAATCTCTGCTTCTGATCCCCGTACCCGATTCGATCTCTTTGCTTGGCATCTTCTCGGCAGTGCCTCTGCTCTGGCGAAACAAATCTGAGTTTTCCGACTCGTCATAGTCCTGTCCTTCCTCTTCGGCATATGTCACCTCAGAAGGTTGCAGCTCACTCGGGTCATATTCCTCCACGTCCTGAGTCTCTGCAGTCTCTGGAGCAACTGTCTCCATTTGCTGGGTGTACTTGTAGCAGGAACAAGGTCGCAGTTTGTCGCGTTCGCTGCTTCCGCTCATGTCGTCATCCATTACGTAATTCTCTGCATGAGGTGGTCCCAGGAGGGCCGGGCCAAGTCCCATATCGGGGGCCTTTTTGTGGTAAGGACAAGCAACGTTTGCAGTGTACTGAGAAGTGTAGTAATTATTCTCCGACTGCGGCTGGAACTGTGGGGATCGGTGAAATTTGCGTCCCTGATGGCAGTCGTTGCATCCCTGACGACACTCGTAACATTCCCGACGGCACTCGTTGCTTCCGCCTCCGAGACGTGGCTGATGGCTCTGCGTCCAGGACAAGTTCAAGTTAGCTGCCATTGGGGTTCGTGTTTGCTGCTGTCTTCCTAAGATATTGTTGGGCTTTCAGGAGATGGACAGGCGCCCCAAGACTACCATTGCATCAGAGATAAGAGCAGCGAACACCTGGAACACCTGTGAATGGGGCTATGAATTTATTAGATATATTGTTTAGAGTGAATGAAAAATGTATGTCAGCCAACTAACACTAAAAGAAGAGCTCATCTGATATGTGGGAGTGTTTTATGGCGTGTGCTTTGGTCCAAAGACAAATCTTTCTTTATTCACAACTAATTTAGGGAATCTCCTCCAGGGTCAGGCCATAGACAAGGGCATGGTGCAATGTTTTGTGCAAATCAGTGACTTGGCCGCTGTCTATGGTCTGTCCTGGACACACAAATTATACAGAAACGAATACAAAACGCCACACAATGAAGAGGGCACGAATGTCCAGCCCAGATCCTAGTAATGCTGTCGCATCGTGCTATTCATTATGGGATACATCATGCAACTTGTGCTGGCCTGCGGCCCCTTTCCCCATACTCTCTGGGCATGCTGCTGCTCCCTCATTGCGCTGATGGATCGATGGCCACGTTTCTTGGCAGGCGGCTTGGATGTCGTCCGTGGGTGCTGTGGTCGCTTCAGGGGCTTGGACATATCCGGCTTGGGCCAGTGCAGCGGTCGGCGCAGGTGTTGGCCCGGTGGAAGTGTGGGATATGGATAGGCCAGCTCCTTGATGCGGCTGCTCGAACGCCGCTTCCGTTTGCGGCGTCCCAGCTTGCATTGCTCCTCCTGAAAGAGTCTGTAGCACTCATTGGCGTAGTCATCTTGCCTGGCATCCGTTTGGGGTTCGTTGTGGCTCTCAATCAAAGTCGGATTCTGATACAAGATTTGGTTGGGGCTGTGGCTCTCGCCCGGAATGTCTGGTGATGCCGTATCCTGCTTCGGCGAGCTGTACTCCTCCTCATCCTCGTCATCCGAGTTGACCATCAGATAGACGGAGTATTGCTTCCTTTTCTTCTTTTGGGTGCCGTAACCCGCCATCATGCGTTGCTCTTCGCATGACTCAAAGTCATTCTCCTGCTGCTGCTCCTCCTCTTCCTCATTCTCCGGTGGATCACACATCTGACCCACCAGCTGCATAAGAGACGCCCACACCGAGCTGCCATCCTGCAGCTCCTGGTTCTGCAGCAATTGATTGATGTTTACCTTGCGGATGCGGTTCTTCTTGCCCAACGAATGGGTTTGTTCTCGATCTGAGGCTTGGCTTCCTTCATGAACATCCAGGCTGCAGCGCCCTTCCCTGCCGGTGCACTCCTCCGACTCTTGCCTTATAGATGTCTGACTTTGGTTGGGAGTCTTGGGCAGTAATCTGCTTCGATTGGGTTTCTCTACGCATTCTATTGGAGTCCTGAGCTCCTCCTTGCTCTTCTCAGTGGTGAGGGTGCTGGTGCTGGTGCCAGAGTCCTGCCTGTCTACTTCGTTATCGCCCAATTCTCTGGCCGATCTCTTTTCCTGCCGCTTGGTAGTCTCTGGCTTCGTTTTACGCAGAAATCTTTCCACCTTTGGTGACTCTGGGGCTGTTTGCGACTCCCCATTTAGCGACGTAGCTGAGGGACTGTCCAATGATCTGGTCTCCTTCTCAGAACCTGCATTGGATCTTACCTTCGATCTTTTCTTGGGTTTAGCCCCCTCATAAGTGAAAGATCCTGGATCGCAGTCCATCATTCTGGATTCTGAACTCCGATCGCAGAAATCTATAAAACTGCCAACGAATTTTCCGAAATTAAAGGTGCTAGGACTCTGTTGTTGCTGCGGCTGTGGATGTTGCTCCCGGAGATAATTCCTCTGTGGTTCCTTCTGTCTGCCCTTCTCCGGACTCTTGGGCTTGTCAGCTGGATCCAACACCCTCTCATGGCGCTTGCCATCCACTGCATGCATTCCATGGATGGTCACCCGCTTCGTCATCTTGGGATTCAACTCGCTAGCTAAGCTCTGGCCTCCCTCCGGACGAGTTGGCTTCTTTAGTATACCCACGGGGGCAGGCTCCCGTGACGGTTGGGGCGACAAGTGAAAGTCCTGCAGTTTCTGCAGCTGCAACTGCTTCAGGTGCAACTCCTTTTGCTGCTGCTCTATGCGATTGGCAGCCGCAGCGAAACGTGAGGCCTCCGACTCGAAGTAGCATGCAGGAGGCGCCGTCTGGCAGCTAGGACACTCCAAGAAGTCCTGAGAGCTGGCAGAGTTTTGATGCTGCTGGGCGTTGGCTGCACTCCTCTGGGAGTCTCCCCAAGCTGACATTAATTTGGCGACGGCAGGTTGATGACTGCGTCTGGTTCCCTCCCACTGAGATCTGCCCCACCTCGGTGGATAATATTGCTGAAGCTGTACTTGCTGTTGTGGCTGCTGCCTCACATAGTTGCCCGGCACCATGCGCATGCCTTTGGGCTGTGGCACGGTGACAATCTCCCTGGGCGACCACATCAGCTGGCGCCGCGCCCGGGTCACACCGCGGCGGCTCGGTTCCAGCACAGACATGCGGGGCAGGGCGCTCATCTTGTTCCAGCACGTGTTCTGCCAGCACTCGTCCATCGATCGGACCATGTGCGGCTGACGTGCGGGGTGACGGAAGTTACTCCCCTGCGCCATTAGCTGCTGGTAGGCCGTCAGAGAAAGCTGCCTCCTGACGCCATCCACCTTGCGCCTCACCATTTTGAGGTCTGGGATCTGGGTTGGACTTGACTATGGATTTTGATGGAATTTTTGTTGTTTAATTTTTGTAGTTTTGCCATAAAAGGTTGCTACTTGAAAATGTTATATGGCATATGACAGAAAACGAACATAAAACTCCCTACTACAAACGGCCCACCCCCAGAACTTGGACACGTGCAGCCTCCCCCAAAGACGCACGAAAAACTTTCAACTGACGTCACGCGAGTCCTCGTGAATGGCCCCTCGATGGTGCGTTTTCTATTCCATTTCACATACCTATCTGACGCTCTGATGTAGTAGTCTTCCCGGCATCTTTCATTCAGGAAGTTAGTGGGCCAATTGGAATATTCATTCATTACTAGCGCACTTCCAGGATTCCAGGCCGACTCTTGACTCGTGTCAGGTCGCAGTGCGTGTTCCAGTGTGCGCAGCATTCGAAGAGACCGTCTGAGATGCTGCGGTAAATATACTCTGACTCTTGATCAATTTTTGCACGTTTTTATTGTAATTAATGTCCGATTCCTGTACTATTTGCTATTTTTAAATGAAAATTCAACAAGTTTTCGTATTTAGTATTGTAAAACGACAGTATTAACGATTTTTGGTATTTTCGCGTGCCGATTCCACAGCCAGAGTTGCTTCAAGAGTTATCGAGAACGCAATAATGAGCTCACCATCTCTTAAGTGTGACTGTGTTTGGTATTAGGCTTTTTCCCAAATCACTCGATGGCGGATTTCACTGTTTTTCGGTGACAAGGTCACACTGATTTGTGTTTTTTTTGTGAGCAGGTGTGAGCACACCGTTGACAATTGCTCGAACGTCGAAATAAGCATGAAAAATTCCAATAGCCGAATGGCAAACGCCACTTGATAATATATAATATATGTGTTAATGCAAAAATACGAGGCGCACGCTACGCCCACGCGTTCAAGTTCAGTGCAGAGGCGACAACTACAGCAAGAAATGAGCCAACAGGCAGCGACAAAAGCACAAGTGATAAGAGAAATAATATAATAAAGTCGACGTGAAAAGAAATCTTGCCAGCAGCAGCAGCAGCCGCGGCCGACGCAAAAGCAGCGACAAATGAAAATAAAGTAAAACAAAATAAAAGATAGATAGAAATCGTAAAGTGTAAGCGGGAAGCCAGGCATATGAAAAGAAACGGAGTGGCTAGGCGGAGATTAAATAAATTTACAAGTGTGTTTTTTTTTGTATTTGACCAGCTTTTGTGATTGTTGTTGTTGGTGCTCGTGGCGGAGGTGGGGCCTGAAGAAAGAGGCAGAACAACAACAACCACAGTTTTACATGATCCCTGTGCTAGTGTTTGTGTGTGTGTGTCTGCTTGGAGCAACTATCCCTCTGAGATGAGCGCGTGACACGGTCGGAGAAGTATCTAAAAAATGTACGCATTACACCAATTGGATAAATCGACACATGTGACTTGTTGGGCTGCGTGTGTGTCACGTTCTCACCTCTAGCAAACGAGATGCGGAAGCCGAGACATATTCATGAATGGCAATTATGTGTATTGCGGAAAGTTTTACCTTCGTCGTATAAAAGTAAAGCTGCGCGTACGATTTTCCCCACTCTGGAAGCAGTGACGTTTTCCTATACGTGAGACTTGTGTGTGTTCGTGTGTTCATGTGTGAGGTGCGCTCTGTTGTGCTAACGTCATGGCAACTCCACCTCCAGCAAAACGTAAAAACAAGCCAATTGATGTGTTGAATGGTCTAATTGGACACCTTGCGCTTTAGTTGTTTTTACCATTTCGCTCCGTTATCAATTGCAGGTGCTTTCTCTGGCCCCCAGAGTTCATGTGTGTTTGCGTGTGTTCGTACGATGATTGCTTCACTGTTTCTGTGTGTGAATATGCTCGACCTCGACAAGTTTTCGTTTCGTTTTCGCCCTCTCACACGCACACACAGCCATCCCACACTGCGAGCGTGTGTGTCTCCGTATCGGTGTGTAATTGTCATCGTGCCTTTTCATATTGTAATTTTTGCTGTTGTTTTCTGGCATATTTCCTTGACATCTTGACCCCCTCTCTCTCAGCACCCTGCAGGTCTACCTGTCACGTCTCTGCCCTATGAAACTGTTGCTGCGCCCCCGCTAAAACGACCGAACACACACAGAAACTCAACTACTGAGTTTCATTCTCTGTCCCTGTCTGGCCTTTGGCAATCGATGGGCTGCCTGCCTCTCGCTTGTTTTTCTTTTCTCTGTCGTTGGCGCCCCCCACTCTCACGTTGCTGTCTGTCTGGCGCTGGGGCTGCTGTGTAAGTCCAAGCCAAGGTGTGTTTGTGAAAGGTGCTGTTCGATCTATCACTCCGGCTCCCTTTGTCTACCATAATGTAAACAAAATAGGCAACCATTGGGAGAGCTCTCTGGGAATGCATCACCTCATTTCAATACATCTTGATCCAAGCCTCTGTCTGTAGTCTTTGTTTGTTGTTGTTTTTCGGGCGTTCTTCCTTCTCTTTAAGCTTGCTGGCTCATTTATTTTAAAAAGGGCAGGCAGTCCATGAGCGACGAGTTATCAGCTCACGAATTTATAGATACGCAGAATACACCACAGTGCGGGTCAGATTATTAGGTTCTTGGTCCCATGCCACGACCCACTTGGGAGGGGGTTGCGGAAGCACCTTTAACCCGGTGACGTATTTTGCCAGCAGCCCACTAGAAGAAACTCTCAATATGTGCCGTAGCTCTCTCTCTCTCTCTCTCTCTCTCCATCTCTCTCTGTGCGGCGTGTGCGTTGGAAGAGATGACTGGAATGGAGGCCCCAGCTTCAGCTCCAGTTTCGCTTCCATTTTGGAAGTTCATTCAGCTTTGACTTTTGACTGCTACGGTAACGGGTTACGGTTAATATCCCGGCGCCATCGCTCGGTAATTTGCAATCCCATTTTTTTTAGTTTATCAATACTTTAAACGAGTGATTAAAGTTAATAAACAAGAGCGATATTCAAAATTTTCTGCTAAAGGAAGCGAAAAAAATGTTCCAATTGGGTGTGTGAGCAGGAGTGAGATGAATGATATGCGATTAATGCATTGTTGTCCAGCTGCCGTTGCTCTTTTCGCACCCACAAAATATGAGAATAAGAAGAAGCAACGGCATTTGTTTATGCCAATTAAGAGTGTTTGAGTGCTTGTGCCTGCGATTTGTGTGTACGTGTGCGAGTGTGTGTGTTTGGTTAATGTTTGATCATGGTGGCTGTCCTCCTCTTCTTCACTTGCTTTTTGCTCTAAATTGATTTTAATAAGTATTTTTTGACTGCTTTTCCTCTCTGTTTTTGCTCTGTCCTTTGCGATTATATACACATGCACACATGTATGAAGTCTGGTCCCCGTACGACCTTGATGCTGTACATTAACCCATTGAGTGTGCTCTCGCCGCCTCTGCCTCTCTGATGGGAAGACTCTTCTCGCTTGGCGATCGGCTTACAGAAAAACCAGCCATAGACACTGGTTTCTTCTGACTCCTCCTCTTCCACCTCTTTATGCCATTTACTTACTTGGTTTCTACACTGCTCGCCAAAAGTAACCGCTGCTGGCAGTGTAGTTGCCGAAGAGAACTATTTCATGGGATTGACTTTTGTGTTCTTTGAGATTTCTGTTCGAATAGATAACGGTCGGCTCGTGCTCTTATGATACCCTGTACTCGCGAGGGTGGAGGATATGCATATTCTGTTTAAGCCTTCAACTTTTAGAGTTCCCAGATCAATGAATGGGTTTTGATCTGGTATTTTGTGCAAAGTCCAAACGGGTCGTTTTCTAATCATTTCACTTTTGCATATGTATCTGTTGAGAGGGCATTTAATGGTCGTCATTATGCGCTGCACCGATCGTACTTGTTTTCGTTTTTACTATCTTTGGTGTTTGCCTTACTCCACGCATGCACACACACACAAACTTGTAGCTGATAAAGGAATAACAACACACATATACAGTCAACAGCAAGATTAGGAGTGCAGAAAAGTGTATTACATACCTCTTAATTGAAATTATGTTTTCTCTTTTTCCTCCAAAGGCGATAAAGTGCACCGAAATGTGAAAAGTAATTTTGTGGCAAAAGTAAAGTGCAATTAAATTGAATATAAAGAAAAGGCATAAAGGAAACAAAAAAATAATTGGATAAACAAATTAAATTGAAAGTCAACAAAAGTGAAAAAAGTGTGTACCTGCAACACGTGCCTCAGCTCCCAAACAGGCTGGGCATGGCCCACTGCCCACTGGTGAGCATCCGTTGGAGCAGCCGCAGCAGCAGCAGCAGTCGTGGCATCGTGTGGTTCATGCAACAATTCAATTAGAGCTTTTTGTGCGGAAGCCAGAGAAGAGAGAGAATTTAGTGTCGGTTCTTGTTGTTGCTGGCGGCGCTGCTGCTCTCTTCCCCGACCCGCGTCCGTCTTTGTGTATGTGCATGTGTATCTGTGTGAGAGCGCCGCCAGCAGGCATTTAATGTGACAGACGAACTCCATGTCCAAAGCGACGACAAAAGAAAATGCAGTTTAAGTGAATTTCCTGCGTGGACGACAGGCCAATTACGGAAGCGGGATCGTGTGCCGCTAATCCCCCCCCCCCCCAAATCCGAGCTCCGAGCCACAACACAGAGAGAGAGAAAGCCAGTCTTAGAGATGGCCTCTACACCGACACAAGCAGCACCAACAGTCGCAGTCGCAGCAGCAGCAGCAGCAGTGTCCACGCCACAAAACTACAAAGTGCCATCGACCAGCAAGATATCCGTGGATAAGCTCCTGCGCGTCGGTTACTACGAACTGGAGAAGACCATCGGAAAGGGAAACTTTGCTGTGGTAAAGCTGGCCACCAACATTGTGACAAAAACCAAGGTGAGTGCGAAATCTTTAAAACCCTCAATTTCTGTCGATTTAATTCGCTTTAAGAGATTAATCTGTTGCTCAGCATCATCTTTGATTGATTAATCCTTGAATAACTTCAGTTATTAATGATTAAAAATGCACATTCACATTCTTGTTGGGGTCTTCACAAATTCATCCTTGCTGCATCGCATTTCCTTCCATCCAGAATTATGGGATGATTTTTGATTGCGTATTCTGATAAATGTAATTGATTTTAATGATTACTCTTTGATTATATTGTTTATTGCCGCGTGAATATGTGTAGAGCAATTATTTACACAACTTATTGACAATCGGGAGTTTCGTTTCGTTTCGGCATTCGGCTGCTTTTTCGATTGTTTGGGTTGTTGTTTGCTTTCAATTGACAATGTCGGTGGGGTCTGCTCTGCTCAGATGGCTGTCGGGTTGATGGTATGGGGATGCGGTGGGCGGTGGGCGGTGGGCGGGAGCTGGCATCATCGACAGATGCTAATCAGAATCGTATTTGTAAGGCGCTTTAAAAAATGTGTATCGCTGCGTATTGCCATCTCTTCCGACCGTATTTACCTTTATTGTTGACGGATGCTCAGCAACCAAGCAGCTCTCCCAAAAGTTTCTGTTCTGTCTCTTCAGGAAGTACTTGAATTTCACCTTTTGTTGCCCTTTGTTTCTTTGCGATTTGTCATTTGCATTTACATATCGCTTACTGTTTTTATATTAATCTGGTTTCTTTGTGAATTTCCTGACATAAAGTTAATGGCAGCTGATGTGAGAACCGATCCCTTCCGAAATACATGTACACTTCTACAGTAGATGTTTCACTTGGAGTTGGCTTCCAGATTTTTTGAATGTTGCAACTCCACTGAATTTCCCCATGCTGAGTCACACCCATGAACGGGGCATAGGTGCATCAGGGGGAGTGTTAACAGCAACAACTGTGACACTCCTGATAATTGGAAGTGTCAACCGAAACACACACATACAAAATCCACAAAGGAATGCAAGCTTTGAATACCCGTTTCCCATTTGTCGCTCTTTAATCGCTTTATACAGGGTATTGAAACGGCGAATCGCTTGAATCATTTAACGTGACAGATGTACAGAGCGCGGGCGGTAGAAAGCCAATCATCTGAGGGTTGTGAGGATAGAAGAGAGATCAGAGGAGATTGTAAATTGAAAATACAAACGTAATAGATTTTTTGCATAATTGACAGCGTTGAGAATTCAGCACCGAACACGTGCCCATTCATATCGATCTAAGCAATTATCGCTAGATATGTCATGGACAGAACATTTCAGCGAAAAAGGAAAAAGAAAACAAATTAGAAGGAATTGCAAAGGTTTGCGATTGGCCATACCAATAGGATGGCAATCCAAACTAATAATCTTCCTTTTTTCGCACTAATTAACATTTTGCTTTCTTTTGATTATAACACAGCTGTTCAAGGGCTTAAAGGTCCACGTCCATGGGTTAACTTATCAAATTGTTTGCATTGCCAATCAGTAGGCCAGTTAGTGTTACGAATGTATGTATGTACAGATGTTTACACACTGGCTTATCTCCCTTAAGCGTATTTGCCAACAATTTACTACAATCAGTTGAAAATGGCAAAAGATCAATCCACCACAAGAACCACAAATCGATCGATAAGAATGTGGATGACATGTGCTTGTGGAGACTTCACTTGCTGACTGTGGAACATAGAATCCAACCATAATCTAGTTTAACATTATTTTATTATAGAAAATCCCGTATTCTACACACAGCTGCTCAGGTGATCAATGGGAATCAAAATGCTTCGACTTGTGACTAACTTTGTTTGGAGAGAACGCAGCAGAATTCCCTCCCGCTCTTAATCGGTTTCACGTGTAGTTTCTGATTAAATTTGATTGTAGTTTAATTGTTAAAAAGTTTAATTGAGTTGAATTATCGTTCGGTGGTTGCCTTGGCAACTGTTTTAATGCTCTAATTGATGCAATAAAGAGCATTCATGTAGCGCACTCCACTCCACTCCACTCGCTCTCTTTGGGCGACTCTCTTTGTGCTGCTGATTGATCTTTCGCTATGGGTAAATATTTAATATTTAAGCTGCCGTCGTCTGAGCGTTGACTCTTTGGCCAGCAGACCGAAAAAACATGTTTGAATATCTAACACGCGGCAGACAGAGAGCGAGAGAGAGGTAGACGAGCAATCGCTTAACAATCTTTATTTACCTTTTCATTAACTCTTTCGCGGCTTTTTGTTATTCGCTTTTTAACTGTCTGTCTGCGGTTTTTTATGCTTGATTTTTTTTCGTTGTGTATTTTCGAAACCCAAAAAATCATGCGCACTAAATCTAAGGCCGCCAATGTCGCCCTTTCTCTCTCTGTTCCACTCGTTCTTGCCCTCATTTGTGTCTGAGTTTTCTTGTTGACTCTCTTCCCCTTCCTTCCTTATTCTGTTTTCAAAAACACACATTGGCATTATGATAACCGAAACTGTTATCAAGTGCTTCTTCTTTTTGCTTCTGTGTCCCCAGAAGAACAGCCAGAAGCAGCAGCCACAAAAAACATTAAAGAAGCCCCCACCAAAGTAGATTCGCCAAATCAGTCACGTGTGTTTGCTGCCTAGCTCCCTCTCTGTCTCTCTCTGTTACGCTGTTTGTCCGATGATCTGACTGTTTGCCCTCCACTCCGTCTTTGCAGCAGCAATGCATCAATGTATGTGTGAGAGGGAGAGATATTTACATTGGTTATTTCTCTAAAAAACGTTCTTTCGTTTGGGTTAGCCTTGTCGGAGGCTATTAGAATTTTGAAAATAAGTTTATAATGCAGATAAGAAAGTGTTTTCGAACCTACATCTAAACTATGTCATTAATTGAGAGCTGAGAGCTATTAGCGCCCGGCAAACCAAACGCCCCAACCGTTTGACCCATTTTTACTTGCAATTAAGTAGGCCATGACGGGGAAATTGTAAATGTAATAATCGATATTCCTATTTCCATTGTGCCCACGGACTTGCAAATCCAATTAGAAAATTTTAAAATCCCACCAAAGCTACATAAAGTGTATTGACCTCCGCAGCAGAGGAGAGGAGGAGTAACTGTCAAGTGGAGAGAGTAACAATTGCAGCTGCCTGAAGAAAAGTGAGGTAGTGCGAAAAGGAGGTCGCATATCGATTAAACACGTGTATGGAGGGAGACATGGGAGTACAACAGGGGGTGTGGGCTTGAGTCAGAGCCTTTAAAGAGGGGATAGAGAGTGGGGTGTGGAGTGTGGGATGTGCCGGGTGCGCTGGCAACTCGTTTGATTACCGCGCGTAAACAGCGACAATAAGAACGATAGTGCAAAAGTTGCAAGGACCCGCCCAAGCGTTGTGCAACATTTTGTGGCAGTCACATGCCAGCGAAGCCCCTTGATAGACAATGCCAATGGAAATTTTAATAATGGACGAGAAACCAAAGCCACCCACACCCAAGGCAAAGCCTCCCGAGAAGCCACTCCGAAGGAGAGCTCACACCAAAGCCCCATCACCAGCCGCAGCGCCAGCGCCAGCCAGGACCCCGAAGGCGACCCCCACAGCGATTATGTGTGAACTGACGCGCCTCAAGGCTCAGCAAAAGTACCTGGAGTGCCATCAAGTCCGGCTGAATGCCAGCAATTTCCAGGATAACCCCGACGACGAGGACAGTCACGAAGGCAATGATGAGCACGGGAAACCTTCCCAGGAGATCGGTGCCAGACAGAAGCCAGGAAGCTCCTCCGCTGCAGCCCTCACCAGCCAGATCAACGAGATTGAGCGCCTGCAACTCGAGCAGAACGACAAAATGCAGGTCTATCGCGCCACCAAGCGCAACGAGTTGCAGGACATGTGGCACTACGTGAACGCCATGAAGGAGGACGTCTTCCGACCGGAGCGACTCAGCATGTGCACGGTCAACGCCTTGAGAGAGCGAATCATTGGCCTTAACGGCCAGCTTGAGCGGTTGGGTGCGAAGAATTCAAAGGAACTGGAGACGCTGCGCGAGGAGTACCAGAAGCTGGAGCGGGAGAACAAGTTCATATGGAGGGGCAGCCTATAGAACCATCAGAATCTAATGAAAGACTGTTGTATACAAATGTATATTATGAATAATAAATAGAGACGATTGATAACCGCTTTCAAAGAAAATATACACAGCGTGAACCTCTTCTCAGATTAATGATTAAAGAGAATTATTCTTCTGTGAGGCCTTACTTTTCAAAGGAATATGGAATATGTTAGTGTCCAGTGACGTTCCTTAGTTATGGTTTACAATTTTGCAAAAATGAAATTACGATTAATTTAAATTCAGGATTTAGCGGACAATTCATGACATTCGTAATGCATTTCAATGGCCTTTATTCCTTTCAGTGCCGGTCGACGGCGACGCTCGTAATCAACATTTAAGACCTTGGCTGGGCTTGCATTGGCTTTTCCTTGAAATCAATAGAACCAAAGAACCTTTTGAGGCGATATTTTGCCTTCAGCTGAAGGATTCCTAAATGGAGGCGACATTGGGCTGGGCATGTCGTTTTCGTTGTCGTTGTCGTTGTCGCTGTGTGTGGCTGTTGTAGCTGCGATTATTTTCAAATGTCTCATTTGCAAGCGAAGGCTTAAGGTTCATCGCATTTGCCTGCGACGAAACGAAAGGTCAAACGGCACGTGGCAATATGGCATTTCTTTAACCCCTTCCCACCTCACTCCACCCCATCTCTGCGTCTACAGTAGAATGTAGAGCTGAAGTTCAACTTGGGGGCTGGCGGCTGCAGGCTGAGCTCACGTGGCTCTGGAATTTCTGTAGGGCGCAATATCAGTTTCGTATCAGTTTTTTTGTGCTCATGTTTTTGTTTATTTTTATTTCCTGCAATTATGTAAGGTGTCAAGCTCATTTCGCTCTTCTCCCCACCACTGGCTGTATCTGTTGCTGCCCCCTATATTACCCATACGCAGCGTTGCACCAACGAACATCCTTAATATGCAAGTTCCTGCAGTTGTCTCAAGTTCAAAGTCGAGAGGCACAGGCATCTGTGAGTTAAATTTTAAATCAATTTATATTCACACAAATTTACAAATGTAAAAAAACATTCAGAGGAAACGAAATCCACAAAACGAATTTGTTTTAAAGTTGAGAAAAAAACCGGTGCCTGATGAGGAGGCTGCTGCTGTGTGCCGCTGCTGCCGTTGTCATTGAGCGGAAGAGCTTGAGAAAGAGGAAGATAACAAGAGCGAGATAGAGAGCGAGAGGGTGAGAGAGCCACAGCTAAGCAAGATTAATTTAGCTAAGGTGATGCATTGGTCACTGAACGCTCTCGCAGAGCATTGCGCGTACTGAAGCATTTGCTTCAATTGCGTAGAGATCGAGAGAGCAGCACTCGAAAGTGTAGGAAAACGTCACCTCATACCAAGAAATAAAAATAACACCATGTCGGAAGGCAGCGTAAAGAGTAGCACGAGCGTGCGCTCACTTTTGTTGTTAATTATTTAACATTGTGTTAAATTTTTTAAATGTTTTGCGAATACACAAAAGCAAATAAACAGTCAGCAGCAGCAGCGTCAGCGGACAAAAGTCGTGAGCAAAGAATGTTTTGTCTTGTCTGTCTCCCTTTGTGCTTTTTACTCCTTCTACGTCTGCTGTGCCATGCCTCTTCGTCTTCCTCCCGGCTCCCGGTAGCACCACAACACACACACAGATGTACCGGTACGCGACACGCGCACCATGTATGGGGTGCTCCGCTATTGCTGCAGACTGTGCGGCCGCCAGACCATCTACCCACCTGAACCTGAGCAACCCCCCCTGGCAACAGTTGAAAGACGCACAGTGGAGCAAATTTATGCAATTATTTTAATTTGGGATGAAATTATGTTTGGGATGTAGAGGCACCACTTAGAACAATTTTGAAGGTTGGCTTATTACGAAGTTAATTTATCAAATGAAACAAAATTTCGTATCCATCCAAAGAAAATTAAATCCTTGCTTGTGTGAGGTAAAAATCCTTTTACTTTTTATCGGTCAACAATAGATATTTTGCCACTGTGCCTCATTCAAACGAGACACATTTTTTTGTTATTCTCCTTTTCGTAATTTTCGGCTGGCAACCCACGCATCTTAAATTTCGATGCTGCTGTCTCTTTGCAAGTATCTGCACTCTCTTTGCGTCTCTCTTCGCGGTGTTCTCTCGCAACGTTCGTTCACCTTCACCCGAAAGAACCGAACGACAAACAAACACAAACAAAAAACCGCAAACATTGAACAAAAATGGAAGGAAGAAAGGAACGGGCATAATTGACTAATTGTTTGCCCTCTGGTTTTCAATTTCAGGTGGCCATAAAGATCATCGACAAGACATGCCTCAACGAAGAGTATCTGAGCAAGACGTTCCGGGAGATCTCCATACTGAAATCACTGCGGCATCCGCACATCACGCGTCTGTACGAGGTGATGGAGTCGCAGTCGATGATCTACCTGGTGACTGAGTTTGCGCCCAATGGGGAGATCTTTGACCATCTTGTGGCCAATGGACGGATGAAGGAGCCGGAGGCGGCTCGCGTCTTCACGCAGCTCATTTCGGCGGTCAACTATTGCCACCTACGTGGGGTGGTGCATCGCGATCTCAAGGCCGAGAATGTGCTGCTCGACAAGGACATGAACATCAAGGTGAGAAATAACCCTCCTCAGCCCTGTCCTTGGATTAGTTGACTCATTCCCTGCCTTTGCAGCTCGCTGACTTTGGCTTCAGTAATCACTACGAGGAGGGGGCCACACTGCGAACCTGGTGCGGATCCCCGCCCTATGCCGCCCCCGAGGTATTCCAAGGCCTCGAGTACGACGGACCCAAGTCGGACATCTGGAGTCTGGGCGTTGTTCTGTACGCCCTAGTCTGCGGTGCCCTGCCCTTCGATGGGAAGACCATACTGGAGCTTAAGAGTCGGGTGGTGCTGGGAAAGTTCCGCATACCCTTCTTCATGTCACAGGGTGAGATAAGAGACCCAGAGACTTGTACATCCAAATAGTTATAGCTGTAATCCACTCTAATCCGGTACAGAATGCGAGCACCTCATCCGCAATATGCTGGTGGTGGAACCGGATCGTCGCTACACCATCAGGCAGATTATCAAGCATCGGTGGCTCAGCGAGTGGCAGTCCGAACTGCATGAGGAGGAGGGCACAACGCTTCCCTTTGCCGGAGGCTCCATGTCCAACTCCGCATCGAGCTCTTCGCTGAGCAGCGTCGTCGATTCCTCGCCGCCGCAGCTGGACTCGGTGGTGATGACGCACATGCTGCAGCTGCCCGGCCTGACTGCGGATATGATCGCCCAGTCGGTGCACGAGCAGCGCTTCGATAACATCTATGCCATATACAATCTGCTGCTGGACAGGCTGCAGCAGAAACGACGCGAAAACCAAAGACTGCAGCACCACGCCAGCCTCGCCTACTCGAGGTCCCGCAAGACGAGCATCACGACGGGCGTGGTGGACCGTTCGGTGGAGCCCATTAAGCAGGAATCCCTCGAACGCCTCAGTCCGCTGAGCAGTGCGAATGCCTCCTCCAGCTCGGCCCTGGGCTTTGGCTGGACCGATGTGGCCGTTGATCTGGAGAAGTTCGGTGACTTTGAACTCGAATGCCTGGCACGACCCAATGAGGTGGGTTCTCATCTGCTCCCAGAGAGCTGTTCGTTTATAAACTAACAATTAACTTTAAACTTTATTCCGCAGCCTCCTGTAAACCAACATCATTTGTGTGCCAACACAGTCGTAAATGGGGCGAACACACGACGCCACACCGTGGGACCAGGAGATGTGGCCCACGAGCAGGCCCTGGCTAATCCTCACGTGCAGCCCATCGACTTTAAGTGCCCTCCGCAATGCAACGATCCCGCTCAGGCCGTGCCCTACTACCCCATGAATCTGCCCATGCTGCAGAACCAGCCGCTGCACAACCTCACCATCAAGGATCAGCATCTGCTGAAGCCACCTGTTGTTATGGGTGCCAGTAAGTCCAAACACCCATGGCCTTGATATTCATCTTTATACAATCTGTTCCTAAATTTGTAGGTTCGTTTGGACGTCGCGCTTCGGATGGCGGTGCCAATCTGCACATCTATTACCCTGCCAGTGGCACTGTTGGAGGTCCAGCACAGGGCCAGCAAATGGACACGGCCGGGTACTACATTAATCCAAATTGTGGCCCAGATCCCGGTATACCACAGGAGCTGTCGCCGCTCAGCGAGCAAGCAACGGTTCAGATGCATTGCTGCCAAGAGAACGCCACGAATGACTGCAACGAGGAGCTTCAAAGGTGCGTTATAACTCTCTTCCCTTGGTGTATGATTTCGCAGTGCCTAACGAGATGTTTCTCTTATTCCACACTCACAGCTACATGCAGAAGCGTGGCGGTGTCAAGCGTCATACCGTGGGCTGCACTGATGATCTCTCCGTGACGCATGGCCCCGGCACGGGGCAAGGTTCCTCCCAGGCACCAGCATCCTCCACGAACATGCGACAACGACGAACGGGTCTGCTGACGGTCACAGAGCGACCGCCAGGTGCGTAATTGGAGATAGGATAGAGATATAGAGTGAAACAAGACAACAAAGACAAAAGGCACAAAATATGTGAAGAATATATTCAAAAATCCATAGGTAGCTGGCATGGCCTTAAGATTTTCTTAATTTTATACTTAATGGCAGCCTTTCGTATATTTTAATTATTTAATTACTAATATTTATTATTTTATTATTAATTTTATGGTTTAATATTCTTTTTCCTCTCCCCTTTTCGTTTTATGTAAACATTTTTTGGTTTTTGTTGCATTTGATTTGAATTTTGTGTCGCCTGCTACTGCACAACAACAACAAAACCACTCACTGCTGCCTCCGCTGCTGCTGCTGCTCCTGCTCCTGCTCCTGCTCCTGCTGTCGCTGCTTGACTGATACCCGCCCAAACCCCAAAACACTGATCGATCGATAGTGATTCATCCCGAGCTAATACGCGAGGTCGAGTCTCGCATGAATCGCGACTATCTGCCGCCCACACTCAAATCTCTCAGTCAATCCCCGCCGAGCGGCAACTATGGAGTTGGCCTGGCCATGACCAAGGGCATGTCCCCGCCACATTCCCTGCCACTGGTGGCATCC